TAGGTATTTTATTCAGGCTAATGCCAGATGATTTTATTCAGCTGAGGGGAGTCCCTGCCTCCTAAAGGGTTAAACTTCAAATGATACATCTATCACTGATAGGAATAAATTGGATATAGTACAAGTGATAGAAGTGATCAAATTAGGTAAGGAGAACAGTAAGGATATAACTCCAGGAGTAGAAAACAGGACTCAATGTGGATACATGGTATGAAACGCTATGCAGTCACACCTCCCACCCTGCAATCTTCAAAATGGAGACTTCAGTACAGGCAAAATTAATGCTTTTCTTGGATTTTATACATCAAACTGCACCTTTTAACCCCCCAAAAAAGTAATTTACTTTTGCCCGATCAGGGTTAATTCAGGGACGGATCCAGAGGGGTCCAGACCCCCCCCTCCATCAGAAAATTCAAATACTTTTTCTTTAATGCAATATTGTACTCAAACGTGTTTGTATAGTATACTGTAAAATGTAATTATTTTTGACCTCAGAATATCTCCTAATATCAAGTGCAAATAGGTTCAAAATGGCCTAAAATGCCCAAGATATTAGTCTGATTTCAAAAGAAATTCTGGGGTGGGGCTTACAGTAACCCCCAAAACCCCCAGTGGGCTCGCTGTGCTCACCATGTTCCCCCACCCACAACTTCTCGGACCCCCCTTGATTTTCCTGGATCCACCCCTGTAATTACAATACGTATATTGTAGATATACAGTGGTGTTTGCAGACATAAATACAGCTCTGCAAGAAGTATAATTTAGACTCCTGGAAAACTTTCCCCAGTACTGTACCCGGAAAAATTACGAGGATGTGTGATTTATTTCCAGGGATGAGAAAATTCATCTCCATACCTGGAAACCTTTCAATCCTAGAACCCCTCTGTATCAATTATTCTAGTGAACAGGTAGATTACTGCAGCTACAAGGTAAAAAATTATAGAAATCATGAGCCCTACCTTATTACTACCTGTTGTCCTGCATAACTAACACGAGGTCATCTTAATCAACATACAGGGATATTGCACCACAAAAACCGATGTCCCATTAACAGCAGATTTGCATAACCAACGATTACATACAGTATTGGGGAAATACCCCGAAAGTTTCGTTGATACCCAGGAGATACGACGATTAGGGAGGAGTGGCAGAGCCGTTTTGAATTTGGCGGGCAGTGGCATGGTACAAATTCTTGCTACGAGAGGGCTCTGCGCTGCCTCTGACCCATTCTCCGCACTAGTTTACACTTACCATGTGTCTCCTACTTCATGTTTTATCATTATTTCCGGCTGTGTGTGTTATGCAATCATGCCTAAATGCCCCAGTGATAGCTCCTCTTGTGCTGTCCATCTTAGGGTCAGCTTGATGTGTTGTGATAAGGCATAATAAGAGTGAAGATGGACTAACAATGATTGGTAGGCTGGATTTTTTGCTATTTCCGACTTCATGTGCAATACAATCATGCCTAAACATCCTAATGATAGTTCCTCTTATGCTACCCCTCTTAGGGGCAGCTTGATGTGATGTGATGGGGCATATTAAGTCGTAATAAGAGTAGTGATGAACCAGCAAAGATTGGTAGAGAATTGAACTTGCTACCCTAGACTGTATCGACCATCCTCAACACAAGCAAATAACAGTCTAAATTTATGCTTTACATTCCTTATTTAATACTTATTATGCTTGCTTTTTAAGTCTGCTTTATTTTCTTGCTTGACAGTGTGTACAACAGATACATATCAAGGGTAGATGGGAGTTTTTGGGGGGTAGCCAGTCCCCAAGCCCCTGAATTTGTTATATTCTCATTCACTAACCAAAAACTTTTCACAGTCCCTATATGTGTCAGTTATCAGGGTATATCTGTATCTGTGAACTAATTAAATGAAGTTTATGCAACAAACCTTCAAATCCACATTTCTAGACATGTATCTTGGTGATATGTTTGTATATGAAGTAAAACTCCTCCTTATACCTAAATGAGGGAACACATTCAAGATCTTGTCTAAAAGGCTGAAACATATGCAACATCTTATCTAAATACTCCATTTTCTCTACATTATAAAGATAAATGTTCAGTGGTTCTTGGCTTAATTTTCACTATTTCAACTTTATAATCCACTTTTCCTTCTTCCTGCATTTACTCAATGACTTTTATATAACAGTACTATATAACTCTTCCAGGCACTCCCTTCCCATCTGCTATATTATAGAATTTCATAGCCTAATCCTTTTGTTTCTGCTATGATCTTAAATTTTGGATAAGTTAGCTATACCATTAGACAGGAAGGGTGGCAGAGGGTTCATATTTCTTCATCCATCAACTCCCCCTTACTTATTCAACTTAAGTTAAACAAGACCAAAAAAATAATAAAAATATATAATAATAATGCAGACAGCCATTACTGTACCACCTCCCTTCATCAAAACAGAGTCCTTACAAGGAAGTCAAGGTACCTTTACAGACTTAAAATGACATGAGCGACTATCCCATATAAACCTTGCCGATACTAATGAAACGGAGAATAAATTAACAGTATAAATAAATATTCCTCACTGGAGAAGATTATGATTCCTATTTCTTCCCTTGATGGCTCATGTTGCCACATCCACACTTAGGATATACAACTACCTTTTAACATACTGTATTACTATTAACTATTTTTAATTTCTTGTTTCTTTTAATCTCTCTATTTCATATTTAATATTGATGAACGTATTAAATGAGTTACAGGTATACTTTGATAACTACAGTAGTACCCCGATTTACGCGGTCAATTGAACCCATGGGGTACCGCGGAAAGTGAAAACCACGTAAAGTGAACAACAGAACATATGGGATTAATTCCAATAGAGACTGGCCCGACCCCCAAACTCCACTTTTTCAGACACAATACCTACGTTGTAGTAAAAATTACGTCTTAATTTTATGATGGTATGCACACACAATTAATAATTAAGAGAAATATCAATAATATTAGTTTTTTTAACACTTACATTAGTAGAAAAGATGGCTGGGCACATGGGGATGGGGGGTTGGTTCCGAGGCAGAGGGCAGATTATTGGCCCTCACCTGTATCACTTGTATCAATTGTATCACTATCCACCACATAGGCTTGCAGGGCCTCTTTGTCAAACTCCTCAAAGTCCTTTTAAGTCCATATCCTCACTATCACTGACTTAGGCCGGCTGTGGTGGGTGGCGGGTGAAGAACTCGGTAATGTTTTGATGACTGGGTGACCTTGTGCGCATCCTGCCCTCGCCGCTTCCCGCGTATATGAGTAGATGCACCGCGGAAAGTGAAAGTTCGGTTCTGGCGAGGCACCGCGTAAATGAGAAATCGCGGAAAGTGAAACCGCGTAAAGCGGGGTAATACTGTATTTATAACTATCAAGTGATTTTATGATTAGAGACAAGATAACTAATTTTTTACCAGAAGGCCAAGCTATTTTACATACTAGTTTATATACCAACTTAAATAAAAAAAGTGACACCTTCACTGTTCAATTATGTTCTGTGCATGTGCTGTCTACAGAATGTATTAATCGGAGTAATGAGTAATTGCAAATTCATTTTAATTTTGTTTATTGTATATTGGATTTTGAAATATTGCCCATCATGATTAAAAATTTAATTTCTCTGAATGACACTAGATGACAATGAGCAACTAATCCAAACCACTCTAGTCAAATAATCACAGGGCAGTTTCTCCCATAACCAGCTGTGATCTTTCTACTATAAATACAGGTGCTCCTCTACTTAAGAACGTTCAACTTACAACTTTCAGAGATACAAACATCATCACAGAGAGGTTACTTGACAGAACAGGTGTTAATGTGGATGAGACTGGATTGTTTTGAAGAAAATTCCAGAAAGAACAAACATTACCTTAGAGAAGAGTGAGCCAGGTTTTAAGGTTGTATTAAAGGGTATAGCTGTACTAAATATCCATAATCTTTTCATATTTTACTATATATTTGGTATCTACAAGAGTAAAGTTGGACTTACAAACAAGCCTCAGGAACATAAATCTTTCGCAAGTAGAGGAGCACCTGTATACCCTCAACAATAAATACCTTAACCCTTTTTCCTTCATCCACCTAACTTCAGCCACATGCCACAAAACTAATCAATAAAATGACTTCTCAAAAATTGTGAATCTTGCCTCTCATATATTAGAACATATCTGGTAGTCCTCTATCATATAAACTTGCTCAAACAAATTCTATTAAGTCTTGCTTCAAATCCTACATTGGATTAGGTTCATAATTACATTGGTTTTGAAGGTAATAAGAACAATATGACTACTTTATCTTATGTTGATTAGTTCTGTAAGGAAAAAGACAATCAAGAACTGGTGTCACGTATGATTATGGAACACTAGGAGACAAACTTCTTCTAGAATAGTCACTCTCAAACCTGTGATGCTGCCATTATATTAATTACATAATACATTAATACTGCTTTAACTGAGAGTACTGGTACTACAATCAAATTATCTTCAAGGTGAGTAATCATTCCTCTTATTTACCAATTGAGGATTTTTATTATGTTTTATATATTGAATTCCTTTTCATATAAAAGTTAAAAATACAACTACAGTAGAATAAATATACCCTCATATATGGCAGACAGCCCGCAGGTGTGTGGAACAACAAATGTGACTTTACGCTCTCATTCTCACCAACTCGAGACAATGAATGGCTCAAGTAGATGAGTCCCACCACAACGTGACACACACACATTATTCAGCAGGCATAAATTCTATAACACAACATTATCTCCAGTAAAAAGGGGAAAACTCTGAAAGGTTTAGTTTTATTTCTGCAATGCTGAAATAAAAGAGGATTTCAAGTTATTTTATAAGTGAGAGAGATTAGGTTGTGCAATAATCATAACACGAATGAGAAAAGTAATTTTGGTTATAAGTTAATGCACTGCAACTACTACTCTACACAGTTAAGTTGAAATAGCAAGTTTAAGCATTTTGTTGTTGTACTTACCAGTGGTGAAGAAATTACCATTGTTATGTATTTCCAATTTCCACTTGCCAAGTGGACGTTCACCCCACATGTGGACGGTCAAGAATGGCCAAGACTGTCAACAAATCCTTATTAAAGTAATCACAAAATGTGGAATTATATTTGTTTCAAGGATCAACAATAACAAATATAAAACACTGTTTATGAAAACTTACAACTGAAACAATATTAAATTCCACCACACTAGAAAGAAGAAACAGGTATATGAAATATTATAACAAGATTTACCAAAAGAATTTTTTTTAAACAGTAAGAGGTTAATATTCAAATTATAAATACTATTCTCCAAACATTATAATCATAGGTGATTTCAAGAATACCTTACCTTGCAATTATGTTAAAACTTACTAAACGTGGGGCAAAATTATCTAACTTTAACTCCTTCAGTACCAGCATCTCACCCCGACCCCTTGACAACATCCATGTATCCAATACTTATGCCAGGTATGCTCTGGTAAATGCAGGCTTTGTTTCTGGATGCTGGTGACTAAATATCTCTGCCAGTAAAACTCAGCTGCCATCTACAACATGTTCTTCAAGACCACCAAGTTGACATTGCCAAGTTTTCTCTCCCTGGTACAAATTCTTCACAAGAATTTTGACACACACACACACACACACACACACACACACACACGCACACACACACACGCGCACACACACGCATGCACACACACGCATGCACACACACGCATGCACACACACACACGCATGCACACACACACACGCACACACACACACGCCACACACACACGACGCACACACACACACACACACACACACACACACACACACACACACACACACACACACACACACACACACACACACACACACACGCACGCACGTGCACACGCACGCACACACATATATATCACACCTACAATATGCAATGTCCCAATAACTGTGAAATACCTCTTGCTTGAAAACCTCACAAAGTACTGACCATTTGCAATAAGGGAAATGTGACATTTCTCAGTACATAATGACCTACAGTGTTACTACTACTGCAAAATAAATGTATATAATGTTACACTCACACGAAAGCCAGAGCGAGAATTATCGTGGGGTCGTTGAGCAAGCAAAGTGGATTTCGTGCCGGCAGGAGAAGACAAATATATCTCAATGTCACCTCTATGATCAGCTGTTAGAGATACCTGCAAAGAACAATGTCAATATCATCTTCTCATAAAAGCAGTTATTGTAAAGTGTTTATATAAACTGTCTAACTTGTTGAATGCTTTACAACTACATACCTATATACTGTATTTCAGATAATAATTGTATTTATGTTACCTTTGCTTGGACATGTTCCAAGAAGTTGACCCCTGGACAATCTTCAACATCTAGTTCCAAGGAAACAAAGCTCTTCTGAGGGATTAATCTGGAGACAAATTTGATCAGTCAAAGTAAACTTGGCATTTTATGTGTACAGTATATATATTTCCCAAAAATGAAAAATCCTTAGAGCCACAATCATATTGTGTATTAATAATCCTTTAACAGATGACAGTTGTCTATTGTGGATGGATAAAAACTGTTTATTACTTATGGTTACTTCTGTTAGAGGCACACACACATGAAAAATATCCTATGGTCAAGGGTTCTTCTTTTAAACAAGACTTAGTGCTTGGTCCAACCATAACCAGGTTATGCAATTAACACACTACAGTATAACTGTAATAAGCATATACCTGTACAGTACTACAGTATATTAGACTATCTAAACATCACGGCAGACTGAGTATCAAAGTACATCAACATTATATTTTGGTAAACTTACTTATCAACATGTGGAGCTTTGACCTCACACTTGCGCTGAGTTGGAACGCTGGTCCAATTTCTTGCCAGCTGAACCATACCATAGGAATCCATGAGACCATATCCAAACCTGTGCCAGTTATGGACAGTTAGTAACATGAATTGTACAAATAAAATGAAATATGAAAAATAAATCATGAAAAAATTACAGACTACTGTACTTGGTTGTGATGAAGTTTCAATAAAAGATATTTTGACCACTTTTCAACATCTAAGTAACCAGCACAAGAAATAACAAATAACTCAAGAAGTTCACAAGTATACAGAAAGGAAGTTTCAATTCAATGCTTACAGATAATGAAATGATTCTGAACGACTGAAAATGTAACACTTTGAAGGCAATGTTAGATAGGCAATGGTTGGAATTTTTTTTCTTTAAAAGTACAAATTAAAAGTACTGTACATTGTCAGCTATTTAGTATTCCATTGCTTTATAGTCCTTTAGTAAATGTTACCCAAAATGTGAAATTATTAACAGTGCATTGCTGTACAAGTACAGTACAGTATAATAATTAGGACAAAATTTGCAATGAATTAAACGGCAAATTATTTCAACTTTCCCATTGTTTGTACCTGTGAGAAACACGACGTCCTACACCATTGGTCTGCCAATCAGGAGCTATCAAATTTTCTGGACGGGCAGTTCGCACAACAATATGCTGCATATCTCGCCACGTAATATCCCGATTGACCTTTTCATAAAAAAGCAATATGTATTTCAGTACTAAAGTCTAGTTTATTGCTATAAAATTTGCTGTGTGAACATAAACTTGCATGGTTATGTACACACTGGTACCATTGAAAATACTGATATTAATTTAAATTGAAAGAAGTTTTATAAAAACAAATTCAAGGTTTCACCACGAACAATACACATCTGGGAAACTATTACAGTATCTGCAAAGTAAGAAAAGACAAAAGCCCAACAATTTTGAGGGAAGTCAAGTTAATACTATTCAACAAAGAAGGCAGCATAAATGTGATACAAAAACAATCATCAATTGAGTGTGAGTCATCAATCACATTTACTACTGGGAATGCTTATGTACACAAGTGAGACCAAACTTCATAGAATTTCAATAACTAAAAGAAATCAAGTACAATACTGTACAATATTTCGTTACCTGAAGAGCTAAAGCACAAATTGCTGCAGCCAGAGGAGCAGAGGCAGATGTGCCAGTGTGTGTGGTTGTGCAGGAGTGGTGAAGATCAGTGGTAATGATTTGGCGCTCACCCTGTGATCCTGAACTGTATGTAGTAGCAAGGGTGGAACTGCATGCTTCTGAGTACCAGGGAACACTACCCGCTTCTGTGAAGTTAGTTATGCCTTAGTTAAGTTTTTCTTTACCAAACACATATCCTTGTCTTTACAGTGTTAGTTACAATATACTGTATGAATGAAAACAAAAATCAATGGGATGACAAAACGTTTCTAATTTAGTTACCCTGATAATCCTTTAGTTTTAAAATCTCAGCCTGTACCTACTAATATGCAGTGCTAAGCTTTTATCCTCTATTCAGTACCTATAATTAATTTATGCAACTTTTTGGGGGCATGGAAAATTTGAAACTTTACAATGACACCCACATATAACTTTTATATGCCTCAAACATTAATCAAAAGATCCCAATTTGCCTAACACAAATACTAATTAGTTTGGGAGGTCTGTGATAAGTAAATGTGATTAACTAGTTTCAATCCAACACATTAAAAGTTAGTAGCAATATTCATATCCTAACTCGGTACTAAAGTCAATGATGCAATTCTCCAATAAAACCAGTGTTTCTTCTTCAAATGACTCAACATTAGCTTTGTTAATTTAAATACATTTTTCAATTTATTTAGTTTGACACCCAAAAGAAGTATCCTGGTCTCTTATGATGGTTTCTGTGATACTGTGTACAGCTGAATGGATTTGGAGTGACCTGGGATCAAATCAGCGACCCTAAGGATAGGAGGTAAGTGCTGTTTTCCACACTCCAACTTGAATGCCACACACCACATAGTAATAACCATTTTTTACCACATTTCTTAAATAACATATATCTAATTATTCTGCCAAAGAATAGGCTTATACTTTGACTTTTTGTTAAACTTGAGTAGTTAAAGTGGTATAAAGGTCTTTCCCAGTTGGTAAGTTAGGATGATACCTGTGGCTGAGGAGATGCTAAGAGTCCATATGGAGTTGGTGTAGCCATCACAGTTACAGTTGTCTTGGTCCCGACCTCCATTACCTGATGCCCACACAAATATAGACCCTTTACCACCACGACCCTGAAAATGTGACAGTGTCAATGGTGGCAAATTTAGACAATCGGTTGGAAAGACAGAAAAATCTTGCCTCCAACTTAAATATTAATCTGCCTATCATATCTCTATAATAAAAATAAGACCATTCAAACAAACCATCCAAGTTCTGTCCTTACACTCTTAGCAGATACTGAAGAGATTCATTAAGAAAATGTTCATAGATACAGTACAGACAAACACACACACACACTAAAATGAGTATCTCTTCCCTCTTAGTTAGGAGAATAAAACAGAGGCTCCACATTTAAATACTGTACATATACCCTGTATTATTAATTTCTTTCCCAAACCTTTAAAAAAATTATAAAACATTGTTCCATCAATACAAGTTATTCAACATAACTTTTATGTCAAGGCAAAGATAAATGAGAATTATTAGCCCTAAAGAAGGTATTAAAAGCTTTCAATGAAATGGCTAGTTAAGCTTACAATTAAATGGCTAATTAATTTTTAAATTAAATGCCTAGATAGGCTTTGAATTAAATGGTTAGTTAAGCTTTCAATTAAATGGCCAGTTAAGCTTTCAATTAAATGACCACTTAAGCTTTCTATTAGATGGCCAGTTAAAATTTCAATTAAATGGCCAGTTAAGCTTTCAATTAAATGGTCAACGAAGCTTCCAATTAAATGACCAGTTAAAACTTTCAAGTAAATGTCTAGTGAAGTTTGAAATTAAACGGCTAAGTGCATCTCGCCACACACAAATGAACCACAAAACACTGCTAGACTAACAGTAAGGTCTAGCCTCCTGTAATTTAATCCTTCAAATAATAGTGTTTTTATATCGAACAAACTGCACCACATTCCTTAAATTATATATATATATATATATATATATATATATATATATATATATATATATATATATATATATATATATATATATATATATATATATATATATATATATATATATATATATATATATATATATATATATATATATATATATATATATATATATATATATATATATATATATATATATATATATATATATATATATATATATACACACTCTATAGGAACTAGTACTGCTGTTTAATGAGTAATGGAGAAGTGTCTTACATTTACGATTCCTTCAACAAAGGCTCGTGTCGCTAACTGTCCGGGACCATCAACAGTTTTCCCATCATCATCAGGACCCCAGGAGGCCGAATAGATGTCTATGTGCTGGGGATTGAGAGCCAAAGACCTTGCCTCGACTGCATCTGTTACGTCCCCATCTAACATACGCACACCTGGAAGTGAAATCACATTAATTATGAAGCGTGACTCTCCAGAAAAAGCGTAAATTTGACTAATATCTACAGTATTTACCTAAATACACAGAAGTGACAAATATCTCGATATTAGATCATTTCAATAATAATAATAAAGTATAATAATAATTATAATAATAATAATAATAATAATAATAAAATTGAAAAGAAGTTGTTAAAAGAAGAGATATCAAAGGTTTTCAGTGAACAATGCTGACCTCCTACTGATGCTTCAAAGGCCACACCAACAGCACAGATGGTATTGTTAGCATCAGCGGCCACCTCTCCAGCACAGCGTGTTCCGTGACGGTTAGAGTCAACCATGTCATAACGAGGCATTGGGTCTGGGTCATGGCTATTAACATCATAGGATGCATTGGGGTCCTGTAGCATATTTAGTAAAACAAAAATATCATGAGTGCATCTGAAATGTATCCAATCGATATATGTGAGGCAATATTTTACATTTTGAAATATAATCTACTGTACATGTTAAGATTCCTATAAAAAATAGTCTACATTGTACTTCAAAATATATAATGAAATAAATTTTGGGGTTAAAACTTAATAAATTTTCAATTTAATTACCGTACACAATAATTATTCACTTACTAACTTTCAACATAAACAATTACCATTTTACACAATCCTTAACTTTCACAATACTCATCCCACTGGACTCATTACTTACATAATTTTTGATGAGATCAGGATGGTCCTTCTCGAGGCCATCATCAAGAATGGTGACCACTACGCCTTTGCCACTAACGCCCTCCGCCCATGCTGCCTGCACATTCATGTCTAGGGATCCACCACGATTCTGTCCAAGTCCCAAACTATCATTACTTCGATCAAAAAGGTCTTTAATTTATACACACTTTACAGTATTATTATGAGGAGGTCCATTAGTAAAATAATGGTAAAACAAATAACAATAAAAAACCACAGCACTCACCAGGTACCACATCTGGGGCCACTTGGGGTCGTTCATCCAGGTGGATCTATGGGGAATCTTTGGGTGGTCTAAAAAATCCCTCTTAACACGTCGCTTTACCCTCTGTTGTTCTGCCCATCGTACCTGAAAAACCACAGAAATGTATACATATGTCTCAGGGCAATGATCATAACGTACCTATGTCTCAGGGCAATGACCATAACGTACCTATGTCTCAGGGCAATGATCATAACGTACCTACGTCTCAGGGCAATGACCATAACGTACCTATGTCTCAGGGCAATGACCATAACGTACCTGTCTCAGGGCAATGATCATAAGAAACATCACCGTTTGTAATTTTTAATCTGTAAAACCTATATACTATACAGCAATTCTTTAATACAGGAAAATAATCTTCACAACTCATCGCCACCATCACTGAGCACTTGTACACGGTGATGCCTGCAGTGAGGTAGAGAGAGAGGAGGGGCTGGTACTCGGTGATGCCTGCAGTGAGGTAGAGAGAGAGGAGGGGCTGGTACTCGGTGATGCCTGCAGTGAGGTAGAGAGAGAGGAGGGGCTGGTACTCGGTGATGCCTGCAGTGAGGTAGAGGGAGGAGGGGCTGGTACACGGTGATGCCTGCAGTGAGGTAGAGAGAGAGGAGGGGCTGGTACTCACGCTTGTTTCACCCATGAGGTTATCGTGGTGGGTGTGGGAGGGATCAACGGAGCGCCGAGCTACTCTCCGGTGCCGTAGTAGATACACATCATGAAATATCTGAAACAGGAAGAAAACACATAAGCATAAAGACATGGTACTTCTTATGCGAGTGTATTAATCACAGTATATTCCTGTCATGTTTGTAGAAATTTAATTCATTATCTGCTCACGGTCGTGTATATTTCAATGTGATTCTCAACTTATAAAATTTTGTTTTTGCATAATGTAGTTTGAATGATACGTAATTTGTCTTGGTATGACTTTTTGTGGGTAAAAATAAGTATATATTAAATATCTTTCTCGCCAGAAACGGTCATCCCAACAATTATGAAGAGAATCATTTAGAAATACATCATTACTTCAGGACAAAATCGGACAGGTTTGCAACAGTCTATCAGCTGTAAATTTTGAGAAGGGGGCGAGGCATCTTTTCTCAGCTGGGAAAACACGCACTATAGTCAGCAGATTAAGCCTATCCTGTATCCCGGTGCCACGTGTTTTCAACGGTGAGAGGATAAACTCATCAATCAGAGTACAGTCTTTATATCTGAGGGTTGGCGACCACAGTCCTCCACTCTAAACGTTCTCAGACTGTTTTTACCAATCCTCTAAGTCTAAGGCTTTGTATTTCTCTGGGGACCCAGTTTTTAATTTAATTTACCCATCCCAGTTTCTGCCTCCCCCTGGCTCTCTTACCCTCAGCTTCCCGCACTGATAATTCTGTTATGATCCCCTCATCCTTATAATGGATCAAAATATATCATTTTTCTTTACCTGTACATTTCAAGTATTTCTCTTGAAACTTCTATTAATCTTAGTACATCTTCATTTGCTTTCCTGTCAGTGTAGCTTATTCTTAGTATTCGCCTATAATACCACATTTCAAAGGCCTCCAACATCTTTCTGGTGTCTACTGAAAGTGTCCACGCTTCTGTGTGGATAACTAGGCAAGTATCAATTATGACACTTTTCGGAATTAAAACATGCTTGCAGTCACATAACCGCCAAAAAATTAATGTAGCATTATGTTGCTTGATAGAATATAAATATGGCAGACAGTAATCGGTATTGCAGCTTACAGTAAAACAAGAAATTTGGGGGATTTTTTTTATTATTATTATGGTCTAATTCTGCCATATCAGGGGCCAGAACTATACCCAACCTACCTCACCGTATATAAATTAACTAAAAGAAATATTCCAAGATCCTTAGGACAAATTAGAAAGGGTAAGGCAGGTTGTGTTGGGTTTATGCCGGCACCCAGTCTGAGGGAGCCTGGTTTACATTAGTGAGAAATTTTCTTTACAATTTAAGGTTAAAATCTTTCTTAAAATTTAGACACCAGATGTGGCAGAGTTAGAAGTTAATACATAACCTTTCTGTTAAAAAAATGAATATAGTTTAACCTCCCTGTCTTGCACCACCACCGCCACCACTCCCACTATCACCATGAATAACACCATCATCATTAATACCACCATAATTACCACCCCCACTACCATCACCATAAGTAACAGCAGCAGCTCAAGCCAGCAAGGAGTGTGACAGATGACCCATAACGACACACAGCCGGGCCTTTAATTTCCGGCTGTCACATATGGCGCCACCACAGTGACCTTCCCTCCATCGACTCCCCCCACGTCTCCCTCCATTTCCCCATCTCCCCCACCTCTCCCTCCCTTTCCCCATCTCCCTTCCTCCATCGACTCCCCCCACCTCTCGAGTACCCCTTCCTCCTTCCTCCCACCATCCCCCTAGACTCCGCCTCTCCCCTCGTGGTGGTTAAGGGCAGGAGTCACCCAGACCAGATAAAGAGGAAGTTTGGAGGCCAAAAGTCACCAACACTGTCTAAGGCTTTAACGAGGTAATTACGGTACTACTATGAACAACTCATTGTACTGAGTGTGATCTGTTACGGAACTTTCACGACAAACAAGAGTACACAAAAAGGGATAACTTGTACACGTAAACACAATCACAACTACTAAACTGCACCAATTATTTTACACCACGTACAAGATAAGTTTCAGCAACTAAAATAACTGACAACTCCAATTACTATCTAAATAACAGACAAATTCACACACAGCAGCAGCAGCAACACGTGTGGTGGTACTCACACGCTCCATCGTATTAACCCACATATAAGTAACTAAAGATGCAAATAGTAAACTTAGCTGTGAGGTGACCCGTGACCACTGGCAGAGGACAAACAAGATTGGAGAGAGAACACCACCGTGATGCGTTAAGTGCGAGCAGACTGGCCAAGGATGGGGAGGGAGCCAGCTGGACTCCTCAGTTGCCAAGTCTCAAATACTATACGTAGCGACCACCAATTGCATGCCTGGGCCACAACATTGCCAAGTTATGCTGTCATTAGTGATAAACCGTTCGTAACAACACAAGGTAAAAGTAAAATTACACAAGGTCTCCGTAGCCAAAACATTCAAGTGCACTTCACTCCCCCCGTCGTCGTCTACCTCTGTATGCCCAGGTGAAACGTTCTCGTTGAGGCTCACTTGGAATACCACACCACTATCACTTAATGAGAGAGAGAGAGAGAGAGAGAGAGAGAGAGTAACATTAAGGAACCACCACAGAGGCTTTTAAGGGGACGCCCGACAGATTCATTCAGGGAAGTGAGCTGTAATGAATCCATGATTTATGGGTGGGTGGGTGAGTAGGGAGGGTGGGTAGGTAGATGAATAGATAGGGTGACAGGGTGGGTGGGACGATCAGAGAGATGGAGGTAGGTAGGTGGGTGGAGGGGGCGGGATAGTGTGGTCGTGAACGGTATGAAAGGTTGTTTACGGCTGTGATCATCTGGTTTAAGTGCATGTTCTTGGCTATGTACGGCCGTGTGAAAGTAAACGTGAAAAACAAAAGGCAATACGAGACTGTGAAAATGTAACAGCTGTATTAAGGCTGCAAAAGGTTCCCCTACACCACAACAAGGCCGCTACTTCTAGTTGTGACTCACTGCTACAAAAAAAAAATTATATATATATATATATATATATATATATATATATATATATATATATATATATATATATATATATATATATATATATATATATATATATATATATATATATATATATATATACCTGTATATACCAGAACTCACTCACTCACTCAAGCCATTTAGCGAAATGCGACGAAACGACAATAAAGTCTACGGTGGTGGGCAGCCATATTTAACTACTACTTAGACCGGCAGCCCAAAGGGTTTATGCTGAGTTTCGAACACAAAGGTTTGACCAGAAGGATAGAAAGTACCTACCTCTGACATGTCCAAAATGTATTGCTACCGAATCAGAACTCTGGTTTAAGCCTCGAAAATGGTTCCCCAAAGAAGTCAAAAATTATTTATTTTAATCAGTGAAGAATATATGGCTGAATCTTTGCTAAATACTTCCTTGGGGTCCCCTGAACTCTCCACCCGGAAGCAACCCCCCAAAATTCCAAAGAGGTTCATATTGGCTTTTATTGAGTTTACAACATACGACTGACACTTTCCATCAGTTTCTTCGTAATGGATGACCTTCCACAAACGGAGGTGACGTACAGTCGAAGAAAAAAGTCGCCTTACGCTTTCCTCGCCAACTAGCTAGCCAACCAGCCAGAGAACCAGCCATCCCCGTACCGCATTCTATTACTAAAGGTCAAAGTTGTGGTGCCATCATCTCCATTATCCTCAGGAGAGTTGTCGAAACTGACTCTTAAGGCAGACAGTGGCCTCCCTCCCTCTCTCACTGTCTTCCTACCCCTCCTCTCCCTCCCCCTCACCAGTCTCCCTCCCCCCGTCTCACCCCCATTTCCTATAGCCTCCTTCCTACCTTCCCTTATTACCCCTCCCTCCCTCCCTCACCCTCCTTCACCCTCCCTCACCCTCCTTCACCCTCCCTCATCCTCCTTCACCCTCACAAAGTGGCAAGTAAAATTCTATTCTAATTCCTCTCTTACTTTAAAAGCCAATGCGGAGATGAAGTTAAATTCACCATCTCAGGGAAGAGTTTGGGAGAGAGAGTCCAGATTTCACCACTAACTAGAGGTACGGTTAGGTTAGGTTTGATTTGGTTAGGTTAAATACAGGTTGGTTAAGGTGGGTTACGTTAGGTTGGTTAAGTTAGGTTAGGTGACGCTGGTTAATATAGGGGAGGTTAGGTAAGGTTAGATCATATAAATTACCATCAACGAAGATTATAAAGATATAACGAAGTCATTAAATACAGTAATCTATCATAACATCTAGAGTCCTAAACATTTTACAGTAAACATTTCAGCATTTACAGTAAACATTTCAGTATTTACAGTAAGCATTTCAGCATTTACAGTAAACATTTCAGTATTTACAGTAAACATTTCAGTATTTACAATTAACATTTCAGCATTTACAGTAAACATTTCAGCATTTACAGTAAACATTTCAGCATTTATAGCATAGTACAGTAAAGCTTTCAGAACACGACAATAAATAAATAAATAAATAAATAAAGGGCAACAGAGCAACAAATTTAACTTATCTAAATGGTAAATTGTGGCGATACTGGCATTTTTAACAACAAATTGAAGATGTTAAAATATAACTATGCAAATTAGATACGATACCAATTTAAATAAGTAATATAATTCATCAGGTTAAATGTGGCGGTGGTGGTGGTGATGGCGGCGGTGGTAATGGTGGTGGTGGTGGTGGTGGTGGTGGTGGTGATGGCGGCGGTGGTGGTGGTGGTGACCGCGTTAGGAAGATCAGCATATCATTTGTTAAACCAGTTACCCCCCTCCCTCCCTCCCGCACCAAGCCAATCAGACCATTTTTTACATCTTAATTATTCGCGGTGGACGGAAAGTGGTGGGTGGTCTGAACCTCCATTAATTATATACTGTACACCTGCTTGACTACGGTCTTCACCACCCAACCACCATCTAACAACCACCATCTAACCTAACGTCTTCATCACCCAGACACCCACTACTAGCTACCACAATTTCCCCCACCATATTAGTCTGTATCCTCGCTCCCTCCTTCCCTTCCTCCCTCCCTCCCTCCCTCCCTCCCTTACCAGGGTACAATAAGGGTACAGTGCA